TTCCTGTGGTCAAAAACATTACCACAGTGTTTGTGCGTGAGTTATCTAATTTATAGCGTATAAATTACCATGCTCTTTTTACAGATAAGTTATCGGGATGTGTTAGAATAACATTTGTTTTCTTCGGGTCAATAGTTACCACGGTGTTTGTGAGTGAGTTATCAGGTTCGTGACGTATAATTACCGCACTCTTTTACAGATAAGCTGTGTGTTACAACAATTTTTTACCTAGGATCAAAATGTTACAACGTTGCGTGAGTTATCAGGTATATGATGCACGAATTACTGTGTACAAAAGGGAAGAAAAATTGATAAAAAGAAAGGAAACTGGCTTGTTTTTCTAGTCGTGTATGTACCAGTATAAATATACATCGATCTTTCTTATAATCACAAGTCGAAAACAGACCAGGTGGATATGACAAGTGATTATCTACCAAGAGGTAGTGAGTTCAACTCCTGCCACCTACAACATTTTTATCATGTTTTTTCTACCACGTCAGAAAATAAAAAGGAAGCGGGAGAAGTGGTGGGATCGTCAGAAAAATCAGAGATCGCACGCGGGACGGAAGGAAATCGCACGCCGGATGGAAGGAATGGGATCGTGCGGATCTGTCGCTAACCACCAGTCGACTGGTGGTTAGCACAGTCCTTATATTATTGAAGGTATTGTTAACAATTTGTTATTTTGCAGATTTGTTCTCGGTTTTTATTATTGGCAGGTGATTCTTGGTGATAATTCTTTGTAGAGAAACATGTTTGGTAAGTGTATTGTAATATTGACTCCCACCTTTTTATTTACAAATAAAGAGGACCAATTGTAAATTATAAATTTTGAATGTAAAGCTAACTTCTTATGGGAAATAACATCATGTCGTTTAGATAATTTGATTTCCCTCTATGATATTCTTTGGCTTTAGTATATCTCGGGATAAAGTTGTCAGAAGTTCTATGCTTCACAACTAAAACATAATCTCCTTTTTGTTATTTTATTGGCATCATGATGTGTGCCCGTATGCTCCCCTGTCGCGTCAAAAAAAATTCAACTCCCGGTGCAATGCACGGGCTTATACCTAGTCCCTTAAAATGGCAGTGCTTGGCGTCGTTCGACCGATTAGTTGCATCAATTGGTCCCGACGTCGGTGCGTCCATTTACACTTCGCATGGTAGTTAGATGCAATTCTACCCGCGCATGAACCAACCACTCCTTCTTTCCAATGATGCCTGCATATGCCCCCATCCATAGCAGCACCATCGTCAATAGCAACTTTGCGGCAGGCACCAATCGCCATTAACAACTCGGCTCGCAGCACCGCCTCGCCGGCCCCGCGTCGCGCTTCTCTGGGATAAATAGCCGATCATCATTGAAAGCATCATCGGCTCATCGCGTTGGCCGCAACACTGTCCCGCGTCGGTTGTATCTTCTCAAACTCGCTATCAAATCATCTTCTCTGCCTCACCTTCGAAGCATCCCCCTCGCCGATTGAAGTTCCAACATGCCCTTGCCATAGTTCCCGCACACTCCCGTCGTAACACCATCTCGCGCCAATCGCAGCTCTCGCCCTTGTTGGTCACAACATTGGTACTCGTTGGTTGCAACTCTGGACTTGTGGGAACAGTGCATCGCCTGCCAGTCCTTTGCAGTAGCACATGTGGCGGATGGTGGTTGCCCTTGCATCAACAGGCCCCTCAGCATGCAGCAGCGGGCAGCAGCACGGCGGCTATCGCAACGATGGTTCCCCCAGGTATTCCGGTGACGCCAGGAGAAGATCGCAACTAGATGTTGAGCACGGTGGTCAATGCCAGAGTCTGTCATGGGTAGGGGGAGATAGGCGAGAGGGGGTAGATGATTCGGGAAGAAGAAGAGAGGATAAGGTAGAACATGTGTGACACCCCACCAGACACCTTGTTAAAAGCATGAGGAAAGTTGAAGCTGCGCGCGTGGCTTCGCTGCGACTGATCCGATGCGTGATCGATCGATAGATTAATATTGTTTACCCAGAAAAATGGGATAATGTTACATGTTGGCCATCTAATCTTTTGAAGATATCAGCCAGGTTGTGAGTTGTTGGATCCATCATGAGATAGCCGTCTGATCCAGCTGACAAGGTTTGCAACATAGGTCATGTTCACTAGCAGGTTCTGCTCGAGGATCTTCAAAATGACACTTTGCAACATGATCCATGGTGCACTTGGGGGTGGGGGGTTGCAACATGGCCATGTTGCGTTCGGAGGTTTGGTAATCACTCTTTTGCAACATGAGTCATTTTGCCACCGCGACATACACTCCTCAATCGATTTTGCCTCCACCGCGACATAGCCCTCCAACTAGACGACCCATTCACAACATGGCGCCGCCTTCCACGAAATCGGCAAGCAACCTCCCCACCCCCCACCGCCACCCCCCATACACACAGAAACACACACACGGCGACCGGGGTTAACACGCCATCAATTGTCCCCGCTAGCAATACTCAAAGGGGCGCGAGGGGATGGGAACGGGGTGGCTCAGGAAGAAAAAAAATCAAGAGGTGATGTCACCATGGATTTGAAGATAGACTGGCCTTGCATGCACATACGGTGTAGATCGCTACAGCGTAAGCGATCTCTGTCGAAGAGGGTCAAGCGATGTGTGAAAAGACTAAAGAAATTAAAAAGAGTAACGCGAGCAATGTGAGGATAAGATAACATGGGCAGGGCGGTGCGTGGGCCCCATGTGAGATGTCAGGATATGATCTCGAGTGAGAAAGATATGGAGGCCGTATATGGCGACTTTGTGTTTGCACATTACTACTATAGCCTTCATATCCATATGAAGTGTGCTCTATAGACGATATGACGACCGCAAATATCATGACTCTTCTTCTATAGTTGGAAGACAACAAACTTGTGTATCAATCAAGACAATGATAAATTTACTTCTTTAGATATAAAATATACTTTTGACCGGACAATGCACAACGATATTGCTCCTTAAAACCACCGGCGTAATCAATTGGTAAAAGCTATTGCCTGTGAAATATTAGTGTTTAAATCACTTATACTGCCTCCGTCCAATAATATAAGAGCTTTTCTTACACTGCACACTATTGTAAAAAAATGCTTCTATGTTATAGGACGAAGGGAGTACGTGTTTATAGAGGGAGTAAAAAATTTCCGATCGAAAGAAAATGAGTAGGGCGTTGACACACCAAGAGCAGATCACCGAGCGAGCGTTGCACTGAAGCCAGCCACTTGGTCCCGCTTGGCCTGGGGAGGGCGGTCAAAAGCCACGAGCACCACCACCAGTCCACCACCGCCCCGCCTGCGACAGATTTTTACCACGCAGCAGCAGCACCACCAGCAGCAGTACGTACAGCTCGCACTCGGGCGCCCTTTTTCTTTACCGTCCCCGAGAGACGTCCCGTCCGGTTTCACCGCTGCGTCCTTTGTTCGTTCCCCTGACGCAAGATCGGACGAGACGAGGAAAAGAAGCCGGGGCGTCGCTCGGCGGGTTACGGACAAAAGGCGCGATCAGTGTAATCATAGCCCCCAGGATCTCGCGTCCCCGGAGCGGGGGCATTCGCCAAGCACGATGGCCGCGCCTCCACGCCCACCCCGCCCCGCACGCCCCAAACCCAAGCCAGCCTCGATCCTATTTTTCTCTCGGGGAAAATTAGAGCCAATTCCACATTATTTTTGCTCTACATGCACAATTACTTGGAGAGCACACATCATGTGACCCCCATAAAGATTTGTACAAACGGTGTGGGTGGGTCTACGAGGAAGCCTGGGTCCTCAGTCTCCAGGCCAGGTGAAAGAGAAATCGTCGTCAAACGAATGCCTGGCGTCACGAGAATCCTGCTGGTCCTCTCCATTTTTTTTCCCTTTTCCCGGTGCCGGACGGGGACGCAGATTTTCTTTCCTTCCTTTTTACCGCGGTGAAAGCGGGGGTGAAGTGGGAGCGGGGCAAAGGCGAGGCGGGGTAGAAAAAAGGGGCGAGCGGCAGAGCGTGGTCACTCACGCCACTCCCATGGGTCGAGTCGAGTCGAGTCGCGATGGTGGCAGGGGCATCGATGCCGCGGCAGAGGGGGTGGGCGCGGCGCCCGAGAATGCACGAGCGGGCTGCCTCTCACGAAGATCGCGCGCAGTTCTCCGCATTTCCCCACCTTATTTTAACCCCGGATTTATTCGCCGCGCCACCGGATAGAATACTCTGCTTGCTTACTGGATAGACGGGCCCCCACCCTGGGAATCCATGGGCCCCGGCCCTCATCAGTCCTCGCTTTGTTTGTTTGTTTCGGCCAGGTGAATGATCGACGTTCGGCTGTTCATCATGGCGTGCTCCCCCGCCCAAATCCAAAGCTCCTCCGTCGTTTCTTCCAGCGAGAATCTTCCCGACCGGAATCATGGCGGATCACAGTAATGGTACCAGCGCCGCACAGTTCCACTCACTCAAGTGTCTCATCGATTCATCAATTCAACAGAGTGGAGAAAAACATGTCATGAACTTGAATTATTACTCATCATAGTTCATCATCTCTTGAATAGCAATAACAAGCACGATCCATAAGATTATATAACAACTCTTCACTGGCAAGGTAAGTCTTAGACTGATCAATTCCTACAGGCAGGCAAGCAGAGAACAACCGGCGAGAAGCCTCGCCGGATCATCTCCCTCTTCTTCTCTTACAGCTGCTGCTACTAATACTAGTCGGCGGGAGGGGGTGAAGCGTCACCAAAGCTCCACGGCCTCCTCATGGCGAGAACAAAAATTACATGGCAGGAGGGGTCAAAACTCGAAATTAATGGATGATGGATGGTACTGCTAGGGTGGGGGTGGGGGTGGTTTTTTCTCTTTTTTTTTCCGAAACAAAAAAACCCCGGAAAAACACGGAAACACCAAAAACTGGATCCGCCAACGGATCGAAGCGCGCCGAGGAGAAAGAAACGGAAAAGGCGGTGGGTGGAAAAATTGGGGATCCGTCCATCTAGTGGCGGTTATTTTGCCCGCCTCGCCACGCTCAGAGGACGGCGGCGAGCCCCGTGACGACCTTCGCCCTGGGCTGCTGCTTCTTGCTCGCCGCCTCCTCCGTCGGGCGCCACGGCGACACCACCACCGTGATCTTCTCGCCGGGGGTGGGGGACACCCCGCTCTTGTTCATGCCGAACAGCAGCTCGAACTCGCCCGAGAAGCTCGCCGCCGACACCGCCGTCGCCGTCGCAGAGGCGGCGGGGGACGGGGCGGCCGCCTTGTCGCCGGTGCGGACGTGCGGGGATAGCCACTTGGCGCGCATGTACTCCGGCTTACGCCATGGCGGGAAGTGCAGCCCCTTCTTCTTCATGCTCTGCCGCGCCGCCTCCGCCACCACGGACACGATCTTCCCGAGCCGGTCGGACGTGCCCACGAACAGCGGCGGCAGCGCCTGGAGCGCCGCGCGGTACGCCTTGGTCGACCGGGCCACCTCGAACTCGGACCTGAAGTGCACCTCCACGATCAGCCTCGCCCCGTCCCCAACCACGGCGTCGATGTACTCGTGCTCCCCTGCGTAGATAGATAGAGGGGTCCGGTAAGCCCCTGCCAGGCCATGAATGGGGAATACACCGAGCGTAGGTGAATCGAGGAGGGATGGGGTGGGTACCAGCGGGGTAGGACGGGGTCTTCTCCCACCGCGACTTGCAGACGGCGGCGTCATAGCCGAGGGCCCTGAGGCCGTCGGCGACGGCGCGGCGGCACTCCGCCTTGCCCTTGCAGGTCCTGCCGCACCGCTCGGCGATCCTGGAAGCGTCGGCGAGAAGGTTCCGCTCCGCGACGCTGGCGCTCTGCACCAAACTCTGCACGCAAAGGGAAAGGAGGCAACCGCCTCGTAAATTCGTTGCGGCTTTTCCCAATTTGGGAGGGTTGGCGTGCCATGCGAAAATTCCAGTACCTTGAGTGCCTCCAGGGTGTCGCCGGCCGCGGAAGGGGGCGGCGCGGAGGCCTGGCCGGAGGGGAGGAAGAAGCCCTCCTCGTCGTCGCTCTCCTCGTAGTTGCTGCCGTTGAAGCAGTTGCAGCGGCCGCGCGGCGGCCGCTCGACGGCCGCGGAGTCCTCCATGAAGCTGAGCACCATGCGGTCGAGCCCCACCGACCCGACCTCCGCCTCCCCGCCGGCCGCGGGCCTCTCCTCCCTCTCCTTCTCCTTGCCGTCCCCGGCGACCGCGAGGCGCTCCGAGGCGGAGACCCTCACGAGCAGCCTGCGGAGGCGGGAGACCCTGGGCGTCGGGGCGGGCGCGAGCGGCGGCGGCGGCGGCGGCTTCCCGTCCATGGCGCCGTGGTGGTGACCGGCCTTGAGCTGGAACGGCATCGATCGCGTGAATCCTAACCACTACCGCAACCACGCCATCCCCAATCCCGAACTCCAACCAACCACACCAGCGCAGTTACACACCACCACCAGTCCCGACTGCAACCACCGCCCCAACCACACACACACAGAAAAAAAAAAGATAGCACGCCCTCTACTGCCCGTCCAGTTCGCCGGCGGCGACGGCGGCCATTCCCGGCGGGCGGCTGGCTATTAATTTTTTTTCCTTCCCTCTCACGGTCGGTCGCCGGTCGCCTCCCTCGTCCCCGTCTCCTTTTCACAGTTTACAAGCGAGCGAAGGGGGTTCAAACGGGAGGGGAGCCTCGGGGTCTTAAAGGGCTCAGGTGGGGGCGGGGTGACGTGGCGGGCCGCGGGCCCGCTGGCCCAGCGGGTACGTGGCGGAGTGAGGCGAGCGGCTGGTCGCCGCCTCGCACGGCGTTTGCCGTCTGCGCCGGGGAACGGTTGCGCATGCCCATTTTGCCCCCCGATAATGGTCTGCCGTTTCCAGGACCGTCGACTGGACCCGAGGGGTATGATAGGGATTTCGCGCTGGGAGGTGGGGGGCCGTGGGTGGCGTGCGGGCGTGAGGTGTGGAGTGGACTGGATAGTGAGGGTACTGCTAGTGCTACCGACCCGTTTATAAAAGTTTTTTCCCCTTTGTTTTACAGAAGATATTTTTTATCTTTTCTGGTTAGATTGGATAGGGCCGTTTTAGCGCGATAGGCCCAGTACCTTACGTAACGTAAGGAGGAGAGAACTTTTGAGCAGGGTGTTTCGATTTTCCCGCTACAGTTTCTAAAACATTTTCCGCACCATAAGCAACTGTTGGATTTATCCTTATAGTACAACCCATGTTGTACTTCTCTTTTTGGGGGAAAATACATGTTGCACTAAGACTGCTTTGAATAAAAATAAGCATCATACTTAGGGAGGACAAAATTCACTTCCTAATTTACCGGCAACTCAAACGCCGATACAGATATAAACTGTTCGAATAATGAGAAATTTAATTCCTATGTAAAATATACAATTGTAGAGTATTTATTCTAGGTTTCGAAGAAATTCGGTTGGATTGATGGTGCTTAGAGCTATCGAAGATATTCTCAAACCAATGATGACCGACAAAGCCTAAAATAAATTTCAGCATCAGATTTTGCAACAACAGAAACAAGAAATCCCCGGTCAAACTTGGCTAACGTGACATCCACGGACAAGAGCCGGCCACACCTATTTGTTCGCTTGGGCAACCACATTCGTCGTATTCAAAATCTTGAAACAAGGCAACCTCAAATAATGAAATCTTGAACCAATGCAAAGGCATGCACGAGATCATTCGATCAATATAGCAGACAACCAATTCAACGATTCAAGATAGGTCAGAATAATCCATGATGAAAAAAATTCAACAATTTATAAATCAATTGCCCTTATTGATCTCCTTCTTTTCTTGATCATCCATTTCCTCTAAGTTTTTTATGATTGGGATTGGATAGGGTTGGTTTAGCGCGGTGGGCCTAGTGCCCTACGGAAGCTCGATGGACATTTGTGCATGATGTTTCAATTTTTCAGCTACAGCTCCAAAACATTTTTCTATCACCAATTGTTGGATTATAGCCACATAGTAGTAGTAATACAACGTACCAATGTTGTGCTTCATTTTTCCGGGAAACACATGTTGTACTACAACTGCTTCGAATAAAGATAAGCATTATATTTAGAGAGGACTAAAAAACTCACTTCCTAATTTACGTTCATCGCAAACTCCCATATAGCTTAAATTGTTCAAATAATACGAAATTTAATTCCTACATAAAATATATAATAGGAGAGTATTTATTTGAGATTTCTAAGAAATTTGGTTGGATCGATGGTGCTTCGAGCTATCGAACGCAAAGATCTTCTCAAACCAGTGATGACTGACAAAGCATAAAATAAATTTCAGCATCAGACATTGCAATGACCAAAACAAGAGCATCCCTGGTCAAATTTGGCTAACATGGCAGCCGCAGACAAGAGTTGGCCACCCCCATATGTTCGCTTTGGCAACCACATTCGTCGTATTCAAAATCTTGAACCAATGCAACATCAGAAAAGGAAATCTCAAATCATTGCAAAGGCATGCAAGTGATCATTCGATCAATATAGCTTACAACAAATTTGACGATTCAAGACAGGTCAAAATAACCCACGATGAAAAGAAAATCAACATATTATAAATCATTTATCCTTATTGATCTCCTTCTTTTCTTGATCAACCATTTCCTCTAATTTTCTTATCATTGGAATTGGATAGGGATGTTTTAGCGTGGTGGGCCTAGTGCCTTGCAGAAGCTCGATAGACACTTGTGCATTATGTTCCGATTTTCTAGCTACAGTTCGAAAACACTTTTCTATCACCACTTGTCGGATTATACCCACATAGTTGTAGTAGTAGTAAAACATATCCATGGTGTGCTTAATTTTTCCACGAAAACACATGTTGTGCTACAACTGCTTCGAATATAGATAAGCATCATAGTTTGGGAGGACTAAAAAACATCACTTCCTAATTTACATTCATCGCAAACTCCCATACAACTATAAAGTGTTCAAATGATACAAAATTTAATTCCTGCATAAAATATATAATAGTAGATTATTTATTCTATATTTCGAAGAAATTCGGTTGGATCGATGGTGCTCGGAGCTATTGAGCGCAAAGATATTCTCAAACCAATGGCAGAGCCTAGAATAAATTTCAGCATCAGATTTTGCAACAACTAAAACAAGATCATCCCTAGTCAAAGTTGGCTAACGTGACGTCCGCAGACAAGAGCCGGCCACCCCCATTGGTTCGCCTGGGCAACAACATTCGTCGTATTCAAAATCTTGAATCAATGCAACCTCAAGAAAGGAAATCTCAAACCAATGCAAAGGCATGCACGAGATCATTCGATCAATATAGTACACAACCAATTCAATGATTCCAGATAGGTCAGAATAGTCCATGGTCAAAAAATCAACAATTTATAAATCAGTTGCCCTTATTGATCTTCTTTTCTTGATCAACCATTTCCTCTAAGTTTTCTTATGATTGTGATTGGATAGGATTGTTTTAGCGTGGTGCGACTAGTGACCTGCGGAAGCTCTATAGACATTTGTGCATAATGTTTTGATTTTTCACCTACGCTTCAAAGTCATTTTTCTATCACTGATTGTAGGATTATACCCACATAGTAGTAGTACAACCTACCCATGTTGTGCTTCATTTCATAGGGAAAACACATGTTGTACTACAGTTGCTTCGAATGAAGTTAAGCATCATATTTAGGGAGGACTAAAAAAGTTCAATTCCTAATTTACGTTCATCGCAAACTCCCATCCAGCTATAAACTGTTCAAATAGTACGGAATTTAATTCCTACATAAAATATATAATAGTAGAGTATTTATTCTAGATTTCTAAGAAATTCGGTTGGATCGATGGTGCTTGGAGCTATCGAGCATAAAGATCTTCTCAAACCAATGATGATTGACAAAGCCAAAAATAAATTTCAGCTTCAGATTTTGCAACGACCAAAACAAGAGCATCCCTGGTCAAATTTGGCTAATGTTGTGCTTCATTTCTTCGGGAAAACACATGTTGTACTACAACTGCTTCGAATGAAGTTAAGCATCATATTTAGGGAGGATTAAAAAGGTTCACTTCCTAATTTACATTCATCGTAAACTCCCAGCCAACTATAAACTGTTCAAATAGTACGGAATTTAATTCCTACATTATATATATAATAGTAGAGTATTTATTCTATATTTCTAAGAAATTCGGTTGGATCCATGGTGCTTGGAGCTATCGAGCGTTCAGATATTCTCAAACCAGTGATGACTGACAAAAGCCAAAAATAAATTTCAGTTTCCGATTTTGCAACGACCAAAACAAGAGCATCCCTGGTCAAATTTGGCTAACGTGACCGGCCTCCCCCATTTGTTCACTTGCGCAACCACATTCATCGTATTCGAAATCTGAAATCAATGCAACATCAAAAAAGGAAATCTCAAATCAATGCAAAGGCATGCACGTGATCATTCGATCAATATAGTAGACAACCAATTCAACAATTCAAGATAGGACAGAATAACCCACGATGGAAAGAAAATCAACAATTTATAAATCAATTTTCCTTATTGATATCCTTCTTTTCTTGATCAACCGTTTCCTATAAGTTTTCTTATGGTTGAGATTGGATAGGGTCGGTTTAGGGTGGTGGGCCTAGTGCCCTACGGAAGCTCGAGAGACATTTGTCCAAGATGTTTTGGTTTTTCAGCTACAGTTTCAAAAACATTTTTCTATCACTAGTTGTCGTAATATATTCAGATAGTAGTAGGGCAACCTACCCATTTTGCGCTTCATTTTTTCCGGTAAAACACATGTTGTACTACAATTGCTTCGAATAACTTTAAGCATCATATTTATGAAGAACTGAAAAATTAACTTCCTAATTTATGTTCATCGTAAACGCCCATACATTTATAAAATGTTCAACAATGAGATATTTAATTACTTATATATAATATTAGAGTATTTATTCTAGATTTCAAAGAACTTTAGTTGGATCGATGGTGCTTAGAGCTATCGGCCGCATAGATATTCTCAAACCATTGATGACTGACGAACCCTAAAAATAAATTTCAGCATCAAATTTTACAACGACCAAAACTTGAGCATCTCTAATCAAATATGACTAACCTAACGTCCGCGGACAAGATCTCGACATCCAGGGCAACCACATTAGTCGTATTCAAAATCTTGAATCAATACGACCTAAAGAAAAGGAAATCTCAAATCAATGGAAAGGCATGCACGAGATCATTCGATCATATAACACACAACCACAACCAATACAACAATTCAAGATAGGTCAGAATAATCCATGATGAAAACAACAACAATTTATAAATCAAATGTCCTTAGAGCATTTACAACTTGATCCCCTATATCCACCCCAAATGCGCGGGCGGGCT